CTATTTCTAGATCAATATCAAAAGTCTAAACTAGTGCATAAGGTCCCTAACTTATGCTAAACTCATAATTAATATCTCAAAATTTTATTTTGCTCAATTAAAATTTTAAAATTGTCAAAATTTTTAAATAAAGTTTCAATTAAATAAAAACCATTAAATTCACCTAATCATTGATCAAATAAAAAACTTTAAAATGATCTTTAAGCTTTTTCATTTTTGTTGATAAGAAAATTTTTGTGGGCCCAAAAATTAAAAATTAATTTTAATTATCTAAAATAATTTACAAATTAACCTTCAAAATATTTCATTAAAAATCTAATTAACCATTAACAAAAAAAATATTTTTTTGAGTGTGTCACACATATTTACATAATAGATCCATTTGTGGCAAAAAAATAGAGTTAGATCCCAACACATGCTAAATAAATTTTTATTTGCAAATGCCACAAAATTTCCTCATCAATAAAAAAAATTAGGAGTATGGTTTTGAAGTTATTGAAGGTTAAAATTAAAATTCCAATGACTATTTTTGTTATTTTTACCAATAAGAGTTAATAGATTTAACAACTAATTTAATTTTTGTCTAAATGCTAAATAAAAAATCTTATTTAAAAATTACAAATAATTTTAGGACTTCAATTTAGTGCAATAAAATGATAAGCCCCTTAATTGTGATTTTAGCGTATCTTATCCACTACTTCAGCCAAAAACAGAGTGCCCTCGCGAGCACCTCTGTATCTCACTCGCGATCACCTTTATGGCATCGATTGATGCCTCGAAGTTCAATTGGGGTTTCTTCAGTTCTTTTATTTTAGCGCAATACATGGGGCTCGTAGGTAGAATTTTTGTCTTGCTCCTGTTGACGGTTATAAATAGCAGTGGTCTGCAGTATCATGGCTGCAACTTGCTAGACTGCTATACTTCATTTGCCATGGTGGCTTCGTTTTCTGTTCTGATTCCCATCATGGTGGTTTTGTTTCTTGTTCTGATTCTCATGTTTTCTCTCCACCTCTACGCCCGCTGGTACCTCCTCCGTGCTCGCAGCCGTCAATCCCGCGCCCGCCGTCGCAGCGCATCCGCCCATCGGCAATCCGTCGTCCTTATAGACACGGGTAACAACCTCGCCACCACTGCCACTCGCGGCCCCGACGTTCGTATCCTGAAGTCCCTCCCGGTTTTTACCTTCTCTTCCAAAACCCATCCGGATTCCACCCCGGACTGCGCCGTTTGCTTGTCGGAGTTCGAAGAAAATGAATCGGGTCGGGTTCTGCCCAAGTGTAATCACAGTTTCCACATAGAGTGTATAGACATGTGGTTCCACTCTCACTCCACTTGCCCTCTCTGCCGGACGCCCGTTGAGGAATACGGTCTGGTGCCGGCGAACCCCGGCGACGCCGTTTTGACCATACCAGAACCGGAATCGGATCCGATATCGGGTCCAGGACTGTGTGCCACGTGTCAGCATGAGAATGAACAGGCAGATCCGTCGTCGCGCAGGTCAAGGAATAAGCTCACGGTAGAGGTTCCGAGGAGGAGCTGCGAGGGATTTGAGGGGGAGTCGAGTGCGTGTTATGGGTCATAACCTGGAGACTTGTGAAATAGGTTGAGTTATGGGTTGCCTTTTATTTGAGAATTCATTTGACTTAATTCCTTTAATTTATGATTTATGATGATTAAATTTAAATCCAACTCAACTCACATATCTGTAGTGTTTTATGGAGAGTTATTGAGTTAAACTGAAAAGAATAATTTTTATTTTTCTTTAACACCTCTTTAAATTTTGAGAAACTTAAATTCGATATTTTTAATTATTAAAATTTTAAATTTTTATTAATCAAAATACTTCTTAATGGTATCTCAAACTATTAA